CTACCAAATGTATGTGTATAAATTTTGGGCAGCTTCCTTGTTCGAGGAATGTATCCGTGAATATCCACACAAAGGAACAATATCCTACTCGTCTGCAGCTGTACAAAGAAACTTATTCGATGTCACGTGTCTCTGTAACAATCAAATATTTTAAAAGATATATATCGTTTCGGGATAATTATAACCCGTGTTCGTTTCTCAACTGATCACTTAGATTGTTTCAGGTGTTTCACATAGGTGTCAAGTCTCAAGGGTCGGCTGAGAAAGCCCACGTGACAACTATTTTCATAACGTCCACGGTTCCTAAAAAATCCATTGAGTGATAGATAACAATGAGCAATCAATCAACGTATTATCAGTTAACCCTTTGAACAAAGTATGTTGTTTTAACAACGGCACTTCACGCCATGATATGAGTATTCCCTTTGTTTTAGTAAACCTAGACATGTAAACACTCACTTTTGACATATCCACTGTGCAAGATAACAGTGATTAATCAATCAACGTATTTTCTGTTAATCCTTTGATGACTATGAACGATCCGTTGATTTACAAAAAAAGTAAATCAACTGATCATTCACCTCTTGCTGGGCTGCCACGTGCATATTACATAACACACATTTCACCTCACTTCAAACCTGTATTTAGATTGAATAATTACCCCAGACACAATAAATGCCAAATGGGAACCTTTGTCAGGTAATCTAAGTGGTGCTACCACTAATTATACCCGTAATTAATTCATTAACTGAGCATCAAGTGAATGACGACAAATACACAAGTGTAGGGTTATACCAGAAAACGTGGATGACAACAAGGGAGTAGTAATCGTATTATCGACGCAATCCGAAATCCGAAAATGCTTTCACTGCATTGATACTTTTTTAAATTATTAAACAACAACCATCAGGTGTATTTCCAAATGACGACATCCGATGAGCTCCGCCGTTCTTTTTGTCTGTTTGTTTAGGCTGAAGAAATTAATTAACATGCGCCCTTTGTCGAAATCTTTATAGATGACAGTTAACCAATCAGTGTTCAAAAATGCGTAAAATAAATATTGCCTCCAGCCTCCAAGTTTATTTAGCTGTCCTTGCAGACGGTAGCCCAGTCTCTGGTCACGCTCAGCTGCGTAGCGTATCATCCGGGTACTCACGGGGAATAAAACAATAACAAAGGCAACAACCAGTCCGGAGAATTGCGTTAGATCAGTGCCCCTTTAAAGCGTTCGCTCGTCACGCCGAAGACCCGGGTTCGATTCCCGACATGGGTACAATGTGTGAAGCCCATTTCTGGTGTCCCCCGCCGTGATATTGCTGGAATATTGCTAAAAGCGGCGTGAAACCATACTCACTCACTCACTCACCCTTCATATCAACTGATCCGCCCCTCAGCTCTACAAGGGGCGGTCGGGTAGCCTAGTGGTTAAAGCGTTCGCTCGTCACGCCGAAGACCCGGGTTCGATTCCCGACATGGGTACAATGTGTGAAGCCCATTTCTGGTGTCCCCCGCCGTGATATTGCTGGAATATTGCTAAAAGCGGCTTAAAACCATACTCACTCACTCACTCACTCAGCTCTACAACGTCACGTGACACCGAATGCTGACTGCACAAAGACGTCCCAGTGCCGGGAATCCAAACCATGGCATTTCGTGTGAGAGTTTCAGCTACCAGGGTATCCATCGCCTCTGTTGTGACATTTCTGGGCAAACAATTTGAAGTCACATTACATCACCTGTCTCTTGTTATCTAGGTGGATTACCCACCTGTATAAATACTCTCATTATCACAATATCAAACAGATCTACAATCTGCCGCCAGAGGGCTCTCACACGTGACCTCTGCCACAAAGCCCCCCGGCTCTTCCTCTTACGCATGCGCCCAGATGATTGTCGTAATTGTCAACTGAAAGTGACCTGTATAACGTATTTGATAACATGTTCGACATCTTTAGAGTAACTCTCTTGTCACAAGGGAGCTGATTGGCTCTGGCGCATCCAATGACAGCGATCGACATATCATGTGTAGGAAACACAATATGCAAATCGTACATAGACATCGCGAAACCTCGTGAGCGCAACTGCATTAGTATGATATAAACGACGTATCTTTCTGATCCTTGCATTGTCACATAACTATCTCGAACTAGAGTAGGTCGATATATTTTTTTAATCACCGCGTGATAAAAATTCGAATAACATTTGGCTTTGCTTTATTTTCTTCTTTGTTTCATATCCTTTTCGCGAACATCCGGTGTCATCACTGATGACATCACACACTGATCCAATTCATATAACTTGCACCGTTGTTTTGCCTTCAACGCTCAATGGAATCTGTTTCGGCAGACAATAGAGACTGGTTATTTTCTCGCGTTGGCGTTATATATTTCCACACAACACGCAACTCGTAAATTTAACGTTTATCAGATTCCTTTGGAAAACAACATGAAAAGTATGATATTCTTTCCTCTGCCATTATATCAGTGCCTTGGCCCATGCAATATGATCTTATGTCGGTACTCCGCTTATGTCGAACTAAGATGGTCTACAGGGCTTGGAGTTAACCAAGAATCAAAGCATGATTTCCCATGTGTCAAAAAGTGTCAAATGTGAAAACCTCTTTCTCGGAATTTTAGGCTTATAAAGAATAATTTCCAGGAACTTTCAAGTTTTGATTTATGAGAAAACCATATCTTTGTGCATGTGGAGGAAGGTCGACTATTCATCATGTAACGGCCATCTCTACCCGCGCATCGCAAGTGTGGGAAACAGCCTGTTCCACAGAATCCTACCAGACACACTCCCACGACCACTGACATGAACCAATGTTTTATTCGTTGAGAACCTATCAACATCGTTGTATATTTTAAAGATCTCACTTCCGGGCACACATTGTGGTATATTATAGGAAAAATACTCCCATTAAAGGAAGTGGTCGAGAGATACCCAAAAGCTGGAAGGTCAACAGAACACGTGACCAAAATACGTCACAATGAAATTCCCTTTCTGCATATGACATCAGTGTTATTAATGCAAGTAAGAGCTTAGAAAATTAGAAACTAAAAAATATCACGATAATGTAAGCCTCAGTGTGGGATGTGCTCTCGATGTCTGCCTTTACCATTTTGGTTTTACATACGTTGACGTACCATGAACATCCGGGTTAGAATTGGTCTTCAGCAACCCATGCTTGTCGTAAGAGGCGACTAACGGGATCAGGTGGTCAGGCTCGCTGACTTAGTTGATGCATGTCATCGTATTCCAGTTGCGTACATCGGTACATCGAATAAATAACGAATTTCGACTAAGGGACGTGACTGTATACAGTGTATGTCGGTAACACTACCGGGCCACTCTGCAACCAACTCGGTGCAACGAAATGAAAAATAAATATATTGACTCGTAATAATGTATCCAAGAGCTATTTCAATAGTATATGCATTTTTTGTGATTCTATATTCTTCATGGTTCTGTAAAGACGATGAAGAACGGTAACCGTTATATATCAGGATAGCCCCGTGCGTGTCCCTCCGTGCATACTGCGGTTGGTAAAACTTTACCTCGTGGAAAAGTACCCAGGAAATAATCCTTTCACATCTGGAAATTTTAAAGAATTGGGTTTAAAACCACATATATCCATTGTTTATAATTTCCACGTGTCTACGACCGAATTTCCCAACAATTCCACAAACATTGCCAGTTTCGAGCGCTCGGCTGTCGGTGTGCGTTACAGCAGCCTTGTTTTACAAGTAGGCTTTTTTCTCGTTGAAACCGTCTTGGAATCGCCGTTTACAGCAGGAGGATGCTGTTATCGTGGAAGCAGGGTCTGTTCCACTGTCTGTGAAGATACAGGGTCATTAACGGCTCCTTGACAATCGGTTGACATTAGTTGACATGGCTAGTACCAGTTTAGGGTTCCGTGCCCCTTGGAACGTCATAAATTACTCTCGTAAAGGTGCAGAATAGGTTATATACACCGGTCTGTCAGTTAGACGCAACAGGGAGAAGGTAGTGCAGGCCGAATGGTATGGGTTACAAATAGGCGCGATACTTAGACAATGTGAGAATATTTTAAACACTCTTTTTTATATCATTGACAAACGGATACTACCAAAAGAAGGTAACGAACACCCGATTATTTTAGGGTACTATAGTTTACCCGTCTTGGCATGATAGATTAACTATAGTAATGTGAAAGAATAGGGTGTTCTTAACTTCTTTCGAGTAGTATTATTTGATGGAAAGGAAAAGAAAACCCTAAATCGCGCAAGGCCTTATTTCTCGATAAGACTCTTTTTTCAAATAATTTGTCAACATGTTAATTTATGTTGTAACAATATTATTCATTGGTAAAATAAATAATTGGATAATTATTAAATTAAAGGTTTGTCTTTTCTTGTTTGGACTTTGAACATTGGGATACGAACAACATATCATGCAACAACAAATAATGAATTATTTATTTTTCTTAAAAACCTAAAGATGCGGTCGGGTAGCCTAGTGGTTAAAGCGTTCGCTCGTCAAGCCAAAGCCCCGGGTTCGATTCCCGACATGGGTACAATGTGTGAAGCCCATTTCTGGTGTCCCCCGCCGTGATATTGCTGGAATATTGCTCAAAGCGGCGTAAAACTCACTCAATTAATTTTCACTGTCTTTTTTGGGGCAAGGAAAAGTCCCCCGTACCCGATGTTCATCATCAGAACCGACTAGACTTAGAAACCAGCGAGTGACCTGGAAAATTATGGGTCATATTGCTGGAATATTGCTAAAAGCGGCGTAAAACTATACTCACTCACTCACTCAAAAACCGAAACATGAATAAGGGAAGACCTGAAGTCTAAAATCAGTAATTAATAATCATTCGTATTACACCATGACAGACATACTGTAGTAGAAACTTTCTTCAACGTTACCCGCATCTTCTTTACGTGATATTCAATGTGACGTCATTTTGCCTATGACGTCGTTGCAGATATATCACGTAGCAACTGTGACGTCATGACCGCAAAGCGCAACGTTGACATCAATATGTGAACATTTTGCGATAGAGAAACGATGTTTTGGACATATTATCATCAAGCTAAATCTTTCGACAAGAAGTCGGAATTTTCAGAACCCCCGGAAATGCCTGCGCCTTCTCTAGCGGAGCTTGCAGATAATGTTACTCAATCTTGGTCCGAAGGGGCCATCAACTGGGCAGCTGTACATTGGGAGATCGGGACAATCGGACTTGGGAGGTGGGGCCAGCCGTGCCTTGAATGCTATAAAACAGTGAAGAACACCCGTGAGTACCAGGTAATATTTCAGCCTAGAACCCTAATGTTAATCTCCAAAATTAATTTCTTTTGACTTATACTTAAACTTAACTTATTAAACTGAAATATAGCCATTAAATTTTTTAAATTAATCCGATATTTCATGGGTGAATTTTCTTCAAAATAAAAATTAACAGAAGCCGACCTGTCGCTGTCCTTCATAACTCCCTTAACAATTAACATTGTAATGATAAGAGATAGACGCCCTACGCAGCCCTTGTGGGGTGAGACGAGCTGTGCCGGGGACCCGAGTGAGTGAGTGAGTGAGTGATGGAGTTTCCACTACGCTTCAATATTCCAGCAATATCACGTTGGGATATGAATGAATGAATGAATGAATGAATGAAATTTCTTTTCTTTTTAAAAGAGGTGGATCACGAAGAGGAATGAGACAATGAGCAATCACGAACGTCTGACCTGCAACAATGCCTCAGGCGTGTCCTCAACGTCAACAGAATCCACCCGTCTCCCACCCAACTGTAACACAGACGGTGCTCCAACTCTGTCCAGATCACAGCACCACGACGGCGGCAGCGGAGGAGGCAGTGGTTTGGGTCGTCACTGCAGAAACAGAGGTGTCATGCTCAGCGAAGGATCACCTTCATCGAGGGTTAGAGCTCGTGGACCAGAGTCTGAAAACCATCAGTCAGTCCTCAGCACCTCTGGCCTGGAGGAACTGGATGAGGAATCAGCGACAGGGGCATCATCTGCTGGAGGATCAGCACCGCGTCGTCGTTCACTCGGGGCAAAAACTAGGATTGTTAATTTATCAGACCTGTATCCCGGATTTTCAATCCCAGAAAGCACTCTTCTGCAGTCGTCGACTCATATCGGAGCTGGCGACACAAATGCAGATGGTGGTGATGTTTACAGATGTGATGTGGTACATGATGTGGTGATGTCTATACTCCGCAGTGTGTGTGACGACACGGAGCAGTGCAAGGTGGGTAAAGATGCGACAGCAGACCCTAGTTGTTTGGCGGATATCTCCGAGGCTGAAAGGGAGGCTTCTCACACCGTGACAGTGTCTTCATCAATTGTTGGAAGTGCCTCCTCTGAAACAGTGTCTGACTCTACAGCTGAGAGTGAATCCTCTTACACACCACCACACGAATCTATAGCTGATCTTGAATCCTCTGACACATTACCACCTGAATCTACAACTGAAAGTGAATCTTCTGACACAATACCACCCGAGTCTTCAGCTGAAAGTGAATCCTCTGACACAATACCACCCGAGCCTCCAGCTGAAAGTGAATCCTCTGACACAATACCACCCGAGCCTCCAGCTGAAAGTGAATCCTCTGACACAATACCACCCGCATCTACAGCTGAAAAGGAATTGTCAGTGCTTGTCTCTACAGCTGAAATTGAATTATCTGACACAGTGTCTGAATCTCCAGCAGATGCTGAATCCTCTGTAACAATTACACCCGAATTTACAGTTGAAAGTGTTTCTGAGAGAGAGGCTTCTGATAAAGGGCCTATCTCTCCTACTGAAAGTGAGCCCTCTGATGTAAAGACGATCTCTGAAACTGTGATGATCACTAAAGCTGCAAGTCAGTCCCCTGACAAAATGTCTGTCGCGATAGTTGACGATGCACTAGAATCCGAGCAGGCATCATCTTATCCTCCCTTGTTATATCGTGAATACATTGACGTGCTTGACGCTGTATCTGACGAACATGACGACGACGAGTCCAGGGTCGAGCCTGATAATGCCCAAGCCCACACAAATTCCCCTGTGGACTTTCCAGACGAATCATCCAGGGACGGCCATCGCGCCTACCATCACACAGAACACGTTGTTTCAATTGAGACAGTCATACTCGAGCTGGAAAAAAGTCGAGCAGCTGCTGAAGCGTTCCATAACACTTCCCCACATACGTCCTCAACCCACAGTGGAACTGTCTCTGTGATGTTCGGGAGAGATGTCGACCCCACTGGTTCAACCAGCCAGGAAGATTCTGACGAGTTTGAAAGAAACTCAGAATGGCCAGAAGCCACGCTATCCGTCTCTGACAAAACCTACAGCGAGGACGATGTGGTGTCTTGTCCTCAACGATCACCCAGTCCGCTAGAAGCTTCTGTGGGTATCCTTCAGCTATCCTACTCCTCGCCTTGCGTGCTGCTGACAAGTCCGTACAGAGCAGGTCCTCCTGATGGTGGGGAAACTCGCCCCGTGGACCAGGGGCTGGTACAGGGTAATAATTCAAGTGCATCTTCATCCTCATCAGAGACTCCGATTGACAAACCAAGTGGGGATGCTTGTGAACTGTATGCTTCCGATGGGTCTTTCGTGTACGATAGCAATGACGATGACGAGTATGATGAATCTGATGCGGATGATGATTATGACGTCGTAGCTGGTGATAATTCGGATAATGGTGTGGACGCTGACGACGATGCCGATGTCGAAGTTAATGCTGTCATTGATGACGAAGGGGATTCTGACAAGGTTGGCCGCACTGGTTCTCTTTCTGACCTGGAATCTGCTGTTGGTATTGTTGATACCTACGCGTGTGTTGATGACTATAATAAAGTTGATGATGACGTTGATGCTGACATTGATTCTGACGTGATTGCTGCTGCAATTGTGGATTTCAATTCTGAAGCTGATTGTGATGCATATGCTGCCGTTTCTGCTGATACTGATCCTAACGTTGATCCTTACGTTGAGTCTGACGTCAGTGGTGATGCTGTTTCCGACGTCGATGTTGTAACTTATTCTGTCGATGCTGGAGTTGGCGCTGATGGTCGTGTCGATGTGAATGCTGACGTTGATGCTAACATTGATACATACGTTGATTCCGACGTTGAAGCTAGTGTCTGCGTTGACCTAGACCTCGAACTTTGTGCTGACGTTAGAGCTGGTCCTGCCTCTGACGTCGAAGATGATAACGATGTTGAAGCTGGTGCTGCTTCTGACGTCGATGCTGATGTTGGCGTTGATTCTGCAGCTGACGTCGATGATCTGGTTGTTGCTGGTGTTGATACTGATGCTGTGTCTGACGTCAACGTTCCTACCAGCAGTGATGATGGTGTGACCAATACTGGCGGTATGGATGAGAGAGACAACAGACAACAGCAACAGCAACAGTCTGTTATCATCACCAACATAGAAGGCCCCGCTGTAGTGAGCGGCGTCTCCGCTGGATGTATTTCATCCACCACAACCAGCTCCAGCGCAAGCGGAAACGCACATTTCCTCCTTGACAAGAGTTGCACGGATTCGGATCTTGACATCAGTGTTATTTACCTTGACAGAGAGTTAGAAGATCAATACGATCGCGTCTATGTAGACACCATCGCAGATAATCCTCCGTCGGAAAGTAGTAGCACCCATACCCTACGATTCTCGTCTCTAATCTCAGACAGCGACTTTGAGGTTCCTTGTCAGGGCCATCCGGCAACGTTCTCCACCAGTATCCCATCCCGAAAATCGCCTGGTTTGAAAGAAGGCTGCTATGTTTCGTAATTATAAATTTGTTAAAATTGATAGATTTTATGTCTGTGGATATATCTACATTTAATAGATGCCAATCTTACACGGATTTAGAGAGAATAAACATAAAACAGAATTCCCGTTGAATTGTTTAGTCAATTTGTATATTCAGAGGATAATTGTATGCTCCTCGAAAGCCGGGGCAATGGAGGGGTTCAGTCGTGTAATGCGCCGCAATTCGCTCTGCAGAGTACCGTCTCTTAGGCGTGCCAGGAACGTGGGTTCTAACCCCAGATTCGTCCTGATTATGTTTCTAGGTTTGTCAGCACCATCCCCGTGCTCGTGGGTTTCGCAAAAGTAGAAAACGTCTGAGACCTGCATCATATCGGGCTTCCCCCCCACCCCCCACCCCACACACACACACTAAGCTGGCATGCCGTGACGTAACATAAGTGATGCCCAAACCGGCGTTAAGCCAAATTCGCTCACTCCTCGAAAACCAAGGACTATATGTGGAATGGATGAATATACAATTGTTTTGATTTACCTTTTAGAGACAACAGTGTATGGTTTGAGGCGCTGACAGAAAAAGTATCAAATTTACATGCTTACGCTATCGACCACTGGTTAACCCATTCACATCCCCAACACACTTCGCTACGGCAGTCACATATGACATTACATAGTTAGACTCCTATTCACTAAGTTATTTCTCTTCTCGTTTATACTGCTATCACTGACAGTAATTGTACAACTCTCAAAGTAAACGTTCAAGAGTCCTCATTACGAAAAAAGAACAAGGTAACAAGTAAGTGAAAAAAGAAACCAATCCGAGTTATCTCCCAGTATGATTTACCGCAAGGTGTCGCTAGACGTAAGTGTCTATTTCCGGGTTCTTTTTTCCAACTTGAGCGGTAATTTAGTTTGTGTGAGTGAAGCTCTCTGCTATAATGACATGAGAATGGCAGTCGGGAGGGGAAAGGATTAATCAGAAAATATTCTTGGATTCTGTACGCTGAGAACACGCTGTAAAAGTGGATAGGAATTCTACAGATTCCGGAGGATAATATGACTCGAAATATACCGCAATATTTCTTTGATAAGTGCCAAACAATTCCCACAATTTCTAAATTAGCAGGTTTTCGGATATTCGGGACGGCACCTTGTGTTTTTACTGAAAACTGATATATTTAGGAATGAAGCTGTCGGCGTGGCAGGATCTGAACGGAATTACAGAAAGATAACTGTCTGCTGGTGATATAAGTAACCATATATGCTCTTGTGTTCTTGTGTTCTTGTATTCTTGCGGAGCATATATGCGTTCCTAGTAAACTAACAACAGTCGTAAAGCCCACGAAGTCAAGGGCCACCGGTTTCTCAGTGGTCTAAGACACTTTGAATCACCGAGCAGGGTTACGTTTCTTTGTTGTGCCAGGATCCGTTGTTCTTGGTTTAAATCCAAAATTAATTCCGAATATAATTGTTGTTCTGTCAAGGCCATACTCACTGTTTGTGGGTTTCACCAAAAAGATAAAAGCCCCCAAACTGCGCCTTTGGGTCTTTCCTGAAACAATGTCTTTTTCAAATATTATTCGATGCGGTTTTAAAATCACTCTCTCGTGAAGACAAAAACAGATTCTCTTTGTCGAATGAAGCCTGGGGTTATGGTTTAGGAATTGGACATTTCGGAACAGTTTCGTGATGGTACGTTGTCTTCCAGAGTTAGTGAGTGAGTTGGGTTTAACGCCGCTTTTAACAGTATTCCAGTTATATCGCGGCGTGTCAGCTTAATGTGGGAGGAAAGCCCGAAGTGATGCAGGTCTCAGACGTTTACCACTTCGCTTAAACCCACGGGCACGGGTATGGTGCTGACAAACCAAGAAACATAATCGGGGCGAACCGGGACTCGAACCCACAATCATAGGTTTCTGGCGTGCCCTAGGGTCGCAACTCTGCACACCGAATCGCGGCGCCTCAGACGACTGGGCCACCCGTGTCCTCACGTCTTCCAGAACCATTGACAGGATACAGAACATATTCGTCCCTATAACAATAGTACAGTTCAGCATTGCCTCCGAAGGGACACGGGATTTCTGAAAATATAGATTACGAGTTGGAATATTACCATCTCTGCCAAAAGATTAATTTTGAAATTCTTCAAAATGTCTTAAAAATCGGAATTTAGAAAACGATATCTTTGATCTTTCAAGATTCGGTTTCAGTTATACTGCTAAACGATCATGTTTGATGTTTGCAATAACGACGAAGTCGGAATGTAATATTTCTACCAGATGTTATCTTAGATTTTTTGAAAGACATACATATGATGATAACACTACGAAGGTGCACTTTTATAACGGGTCGCATTTTAACCAAACAAATAAGTATCTACCAGTATCACAGCTATGGCTCGACTAATGGTGTAAAGATTCATCGAACAATTGATGCACCGAATTGGCCATGTCAATACATCAAAAAGAAACCCCAAAATACTTTTAATGAAAACAAAAAACTATTCAGAACATACATGTACATGTGCAGACGTTTATGGTCACTGTCCGCTGAAAAATTTCCGCCAACTTATCAGAAAACCATAACACGAGGCTCTTTTCAGGAGTTACGTAACAAGTTAACCCTTCGTATCCTCTGAACCAAAGAATTGCAGCCTGGTTCCCTTGCTATGCGGCCAGTGTTGCGCCAGCGCAGCATACCCAGAAAACCGGGCTGGGAAATTGCAGCCATCACGGAGGCGAATCCTGGAATTTGAAAAAGGGACCGATTCAGGACAGATGACCTCTGTCTCCATGAACATCTAGCTCTAAAGGTTAATGACCATGTATATATATGTCTAGAATCACGCCAATCCCCACATTAAAGGTCAGCCACCCCGAACGAGCTGGAAACAATGTCTTCATAGTTGATGGTGTTTATATTTATGACTTAATCCGTGTCAGTGACCTTGGCAATGCAGGTCTTGATCCTGAGGTCTTACGCTTAACTCAGATACAAAGTTAGTCTCGGTGTTCCGGGGCACCAACACAGCAACTACTTCTGACCTAGCACACAGTGCTTCTTGTATATATCCTGTATATGGTAAATACTTGTATATAATTAGCTTCCGTCTTGATGTTGTCACTTCCTACCGAAAACCGTGCACCGCTCCCTTGCATATAGGAATATGCACCTAATAATGATCAACGTCACATACGTCTTTAACCCATGTTACTTTTACAAAGACATAAGCTAGAAGTCACGATCGCATTGGAAGCGAGGCTCTGACGGGTCAGTGCTTTATGCTATAGGAAACGACCTACTCCATCTGCGTACACCGGAACGACTCTTACACCACATGAGTGAAAGAAAAAATAGACCAGAAAAATAGACTCACAAATGTTTAACCAAAATACACTTGTTCCATGGCTCTACGCCACCACGTGCGCGTAGTGATTTCATGTATCAAGTGCGCAGAGGTAGACCTAGTTCGGCCGCCATGACACATCCCCATTTAACCAGTGACAGGTCAAAGCAGGGTATTTATATGTTCTTCGTCTGTCCCTCACAGTTTTTCTCGTGAGTAGGTATTATATTTCAGTACCATGCTTGCGAAAAACATTTCTGGTAAAATATAGAGCAAGGCTACAATTAACTCAATACTGAGGCAGTTCCGCATCACAATCTAACATCAGTATTACCTCCTAATCTTCAGGAGCGTGCAGTAGCTTCGTAGAAACGTTTGCTCGTCACGCCGAAAACCCGGGTTTGAGATCTTATTTGATACGTATGAAGCCTGTTCTTGGTGCATTCCATCATGAAAATAGCAGCAAATTGAAAAACGCGTTAAAAAACCTTTCTCATCCAATCCGCCAGATTATGATTAATATAGAATAACAACTGTTCCGAGTGTCATGCAAACCAACCACAAAGACAAAACATTTCCATCCTCTACGGAAGCCTTTTAGGGTCATTTGCTTTTGCTTTTTTACTTGAAATTTCAAGTTAGGATCTTGAAATTTCAAGATAATAAGTTGAAATTTTAAGAGTATAACTTGAAATTTCAACTTCGTATCTTGAAATTTCAACTTATTATCTTGAAATTGCAACATGACATCTTGAAATTTCAAGTTAGTAAGATGCTATGTTGAAATTTCAAGATGCTATTCTGAAATTTCAAGATACATAAGTTGACATTTCAAGATATCAACTTGAAATTTCAACTTATAATCTTGAAATTTTGAGATCATTATCTTTAAATTTCAACATATGTATCTTGAAATTTTCAACATAGCATCTTAGTATCTTAAAATTTCAAGAAAAAACATCCCCAAAACCAAATGGCCCTAAAAGACTTCCGTAATCCTCCCCATCTCCTCTTCATTAAAAAATATCCCAGGAGTGAGTGAGTTGTGTTTAACGCCGTGATCAGTTATATAACGGCGTGTCAGCTTAATGTGGTAGGAAAGCCTGAAGAGATGCAGGTCTCAGACGTCTCACACATGATCGGACGAATCGGGATTCGAACCCACAATCATAGATTCCTGGAGCGACCGAAGGACGCAACTCTGCACAGAGAATTGCGGCGCCTTACACGACTGGGTCTCCTGGTACCCCCAAAAATATTCCAGGAAAATCAGCTTGTTGTGGCCTTAGGTGAAGCCGTTACTGATATAGGTTACAAATAAAGGTATCGTTGTAAAACACACACCGCTGCACTAGGAGAACCATGCAAGTCGACGTGTATGAGGTTGGTGTGTTATCAGTGTCTATTACGACAAACAGGTCCACATTATCCTGTAGGAAGACGGTGTTTTGACGGAGCCGACTCTAAGTTCCGATCTGAGCGTGATTACAGTAGTGCACGTGCTGCACGGAACCTCAACTGACATGGTGTCAAAACGTAAGCGCCTCAGCATCAGCTTGTCACAGCCAGTCAATTTGTCTGAGAGCGGCATCTGCGAGTGTGGCTACGACATCAGTTTGGCTTGAGTGTGTGTGTGTTTGTGTGTTACCCAGTGTCAGTTACAGTTTCCTATTGTCAGTTACAGTTTTCTATTGTCAGTTACAGTTTCCTATTGTCAGTAACAGTTTCCTATTGTCAGTTACAGTTCTCTAATGTTAGTTACAGTTACCTATTGTCAGTTACA